TCTTTATAGAGAACAGTTCCTTACCTTCAGATTAGTGCTGGGCGATAATTCGATAACGATAATTATCGCGATATAATTTTCCTCGATATATTTTTTAACAAAAGTTCGATATATATGTTTATGCTTGCGCATCTGCGCGAGTGCGCGTGCGTGTTGCAGACCGGGCAGCGAACGTGGTGCTGTTGACCCACACGGTGGTGGCTGACAGGATTGTAGTTAGAGCGGAGGAATGAGCGACACTGAAGCAAATGTAGTGCTGCCAACGACCAGCTCGAAGGACGATGACATCGTCGACAGAAAAGGTCATTCAACTTCGGTAATTTGGAGATATTTTGGCTTTTTACGATCAGACATAAAACAGAGCACTTTAAACTTTGCAGTCCGCCTGAGCCACCTTCTATGTGTGTTTTATCACACTGCAGTATTTAATTTTTCTATTAATATATTTATTTTGTAAATTTTACTCATGCATATTTTGACATAAAAAAGACTTGAATACTCTACCTCAGATTTGTTTAATGTTTCTGCTGTTTGGCAAGTGTTTGTTGTGTTCTTCAAATAAAGAGTTGTTTAATTTACCATTTAACTGTCTGGTTTCTTCAACTTTCAATCAGGAGAAAAAATCTGCCTTTAAACTTGAAAGAAATAATGATTTGACATTTATCGTTATAATTATCGATATGGACTGATATGAAAACTTTTATGGTGATAATGTTTTTGGCCATATCGCCCAGCCCTACATCAGATCCATGGGATGTATTCTGTCAGCCATGATTCTGTCTGGTCTCTCACAGGCAATCTGAGTCTGAGGCTGGTCAGGAAGTCTGAAGAGTCAGGGAGTTTCAATAGGGTGACTGATGGGGGGGGGTCTGTCAGGTGGTTTCTTGTAAATGTGCAGCTGAGCCTTGTAGTGTTAAATCACATGACTTCTTATCAATGGTGCAGTCTAAACTCCCCGAGACTAACCCTGCACATTTCCTGCTAGACTGTAGATACAGCTCCTTCATGGCAAATAGCAGAGAAGAGAAATAGAGGGGTTCCCTCTCTTTCTACATGATTTCAATCCTGAGAACAGTAAAAAATCAGTCATCGAAAGAACATTAAACACAGTCAAATATATATGAGCATAATATATTAGTGCAAAGGAACGAGTAATAGGTTTATTCCATGCTGAAAAGAGAAGAGAGAAAACACAACATTTCTTCTGTGAAGTCTCCTTCAGGCGTGAGCAAGACAAGGCGGATTAATTATCGCGTACTTTATGTGATCACGCAATAGCACAATTGTCATATACTACCTCCTGTATATCGCTACGTGCAGACTTACAGGTTTAAGCAGTGAAACTGATTGCACGTGTAACTGCTCCTAACGGAACCATCATTGCTTTGAGCTCTAAATCCCACAAAACTGGTCCTCATGCTTGTAATGAGATTTCATTATGACTGAACCCCAGTCGAAATCTGTACAAATTCTGCAGGGCTGGACACAATCATTAAACCAAACGTGCCAGCCAAGTTCATCGTAGCTTCTACATGTGTTCAGTGCACAGCTTAACAGGTTGTACACCCACTGACGTAAGCATTGCTATCTCGTAATGACAAGATAATTCATTATCTTCTCTTAAATACGAGATAAGGGGGCAATTTGTTTCTCTTAGTGGTAGCAATGCACTTTCGTACAATTGCCAGACAAGAAAGAAAAAGTTCCAATTTTAAATACATGAAGTCTTTGAAAAAGACAGGTGAACTCTGAGACAGGCAGTGTAGATATGTGTTTTTTAAGAAACATTTAGCACCTCATAGGAAATTTGATTCGCTTTTGTTCTTTACTTCAGGAGTAGCAGTTGCCCAGTATTTTTTATTTGATGTGTCAGTGTGTTTCAATTAGCTGCCTGTGAAACTTCATCCCTGGAAACAAATATCTACTACCCCTAGTTCCTGGGCTATGTTCCGCAAGTCTCCATGTAACCTGAATCTTACAGCAGGATGCACTCTTAGCTGTTGTGTGAATTCATATTGCACATTACTACTATATAATCCATTACATAGCTTATAAAGCAAACATTTCCCCTTTATACAGTAGGTGAGGACAATGGAAAAAAAACATAATTAGAATAAACACCAACTATTTCATACAGATAATTGAAATGACCATTTAATTACTTTAATTACTGAACATTGCAGTGTAGGGTAATGAAAGCACAAATAAAATACAATAACATAGTGAAAATAATAAAATCACTTAGGTGCTTCTATGACATAAGTGCAATACAGGTTACTCAAAATTTGCAGTGAACAAGTGAGACATCATCTAGAGATTGCCACATGTGGAACCAGACAGACTGAGGTGAAACAACGCCCCTTGTGGAGACACAGTTCACTCCCCCCAGCTGCTCATCCGCAGCAGGAAACTGGCACCCTGCGGACTCTTCTCGCACATAATTTAAACTCTCCAATGTGAAACCCACTGTTTTGTCCTGTGTACCCTGGGGACAGGGTGGAGTTGGACTTTCAACACCCTTTCCTCCTCCAGAACACTGTATCCACTCGTGACGTGTTCATCGCCGCCTCACTGCGATAGTCAGGCTTCTCCGACTCCAGCTGCTTCATAACTGACCTGCTACTTGTATTCTCTTACCGATTCCTCTGGCCTTGAAGCACAAACCTTTACTTTCCTGTCCTCTTGTTTTTACTCCATGTCGCTCTTCCTTGCAGATTGTTTGGAGGATTTCTGTTCTAGTTCAGGTGCTTCTGAAGAGCTCTGTAGGTCCTTGACTTCTATTTGTGATTTTTTTAAAGATATCAGAAACAGCCCCAACACTCCCAAAAATGTAAATGAACATGTTTATTGATAATAGAGAAATGAACGACAAAAGGAAAATATCCTTTGGTATTTGTTCATCTTGACTTCAAACAAAATCCTTGCAGTCATTTCCACTGTAGCGGCGAGGCTTATTAAAATACAGGAATTGAGTTTTCTGTTCCCTTGCCAGTCCCTCTCTCCTTCATCTCAGTGGTGCTGGGTACAGAGAGGCCATTCCATTTGGTTCACATTTAAAGTGTTTTTCTAGCTGACAGAGTGTCCTGATAGGGAACAACTCCCCAAAGCTAAGAAACGTCAACCACTCTAACAAATCGTTGTTTCTGACGCCTAAAAGTCCGAGATTCCAAGGGAAAGTGTTTTTCAAAGTTGGTTTACAACCCCAACGTCAGAGAGCATGGTTACTCATCCTCCACCTAGATCAGCCAATCAGGAACTGGGAGGGCAGGGTAACCCCACGTGGGTCTCTGATGCCCAGGAAACTTTCAACCAATGAACGACCTGCAGTCCCTCCAGATAAAACAGGCAACACAGAGCGCCTGTGGAGCAGGTTCCCAAGTGCAGGACAGTTCCCAAGAGCAGGACATTCTCGCAGCAGGCCTGCTGGACATTCAGCCTCAGGGCTCCTCCTGAACATCCTCCGACTCAGCCCGGACCAGTGTGTCCGAGTGCAGGACTTTCCTCTGTTCTAAGACTCGAGAGCGGAGGTTGCCAGCGTGTAACCAAAGGATCCACCCGGGGTTAGCACCAGCAGCAGGCCTCGTGGACAGGTCTGAACTGTGGACAGCTGAATCACTATTGAGAACAAGCGCTTAATCAGGAACAAACCGGTCCTCTTCCTGACCTGCTGGGACCCGCAGTCACTTTTCTCCTGTGCACAAACTCTGCTAGTTTCAGCCAACACTAACTAGCTGGTCTTCAGAGAGCATCAGCTCTGGAACTCTTTGCCCAAGGATATTAGAGAGTCACCTTCTCTAAACTCCTTCAAATCCAGACTCAAAACCTTCTTCTTCAGAAAAGCCTTTACTGAACTGGTTCCATTCTTCACCCCTCTGCTCTTCTTAGTACCACCATCCACGGTCTCCTCTATTGTTATTGTTGTATTGTTGTAATTGTAATTGTGTCTTATCTTGTGAAATCTTCTTATTTATTGTTGTAGTCTTCTTATTTATTGTTGTATTCTTCTTATTTATTGTTATTGTCATCCTGTAAAGCGCTTTGAGAAGCCACCTTTAAAGGTGCTATATAAAATAAAGTTTATTATTATATTATTATTATTATCAGCAGCAGGATCCTTCCCCAACACCGCCAGCCTCACCGGCCACTGCTTGGCACTTGGCCAGAGAACGCCGATTGGATGCAACAGCCTGCCTCTGTTTCTGTGTCTGCGGGAGATCTGAATCCACCCAGACGGGATGAGTAGTCAACCTTCTGCATTACCGCTTGAGAATTCAATTGTTACCTCAACTACTTTGAGTATCTAGTGTAGAAGTTGAAATCCAAGTCATTTACAAGTCTAAATGAATGATATGCTGAATGGATGTCCCTCTTGGTATTTGTAACTCTTCGAGATTGAATATATACCTTTTGTATTCTGCTAAATCTCACAATAAGACTGGTATATGTTTGGTGCAGAATTTGTGTTTAATAAATGTATTTTGTGTATTGAATCCACACGTGTGTGTTGTTAGTTGTTCTGACGATTGATTGTCTAAAAGCCATAACAAACCACCTCGTGATTACTGCCACAGTTAAGAATTGGCTCAGTAAAATCACAAAACCCCTACACCACCAGGAGACTCGAAGGCAGGCATGATGGTGGGTAAGGTGGCGGGGTCTTCCTGCGCTTCCTTAGTCTCCCATGTGTGTGGCTGCCGGGTTCATAGTCATCAGCAGAGGAAAGAAAATGGCGATGGCAAATGCAACTTGAGGCAAGCGTTTCAAATCCACAGAAGTGACTGAGGGAGAAGGGACACAGCGCTCACTGTGGTCTTTCTAGATATTTTAACAAACATGCTTGATTCCCTGGGGGACTGTGCAGTTGAGGACAGCAGGAGGACCAGTGACAGATGTGAAGACCTCAGTATAGAGTATCGAACAGAGGTTCAGATGAGCTGTGCTCATCTTCTCCAGCCCCCCTCCCTGAACCCTGTCGAAGAAAATTCTTCCCTCAGGTCAGGTGTGGTCAAGCCGAGTCCTTTATTCATGCGCATGGGGAGGACAAGACCATGCAGACCTGAGAGCAGACTCTCATACAGGTCTGTAAAAGTCTATCTCCCCGAGATGGTAAATACAAGACGTTTTATACAGCAGATTCACACAGGAAAGCTCACTCTAAGGTTCCATACTAGGAGATGTTGTTTCTCTCTTTGTAATTGACCACGTTCTTCTTAAGAAGCAGTTCTACCTTGCATACAGACAAAAACAGAAGTAAGCAAACAGAAGGTGTGAAAATGAGCTAGACACGTTGCGGTTGTAATATTAATGTCAAAAGGTCAAATAAAATGCTTGAATTATCCTTTTAGACTGTTGCTAAGCAAAAAGCATATGAGCTAAGGCAAACAGTCACTATATTATATACTCAATAAAATGGCAAATGCTAAGATTCTTCCTCAACCCCATTGCCCACTTTGCGTGTACCTTCCTCGGTGTGTGAATTCATGGTTTCTGGACAATAGTTCCTCTACTGACCTAGACTTGTAGATTTCGTCTCTGGCTCTCCGGTTGTTACTCTTTTATCTTATGTACTTTTGGATTGTCTTCTGACCTGGAATTCCTGGATTACACATGGATTCATATATGTCTTGTCTCTCTTCCCGATTCTGACCTGATTGACCCTAGACCTAGAGTTCAGATTTTGTGATTCTTTGGCTTCCTAGTTATCTCTTCGTCCCCATAGGATCCACTGCTTCTGCTCATCAGGGCCAGCAAGTGTAACAGATCCCTTCTAAGCAGTAAAGACACCTCTTGTTCATCGATTATTAACAGTTATGACATAATGACACTTTGCTAGTGGTGAATGGTGTGGTTTTCACTGTATTACACATTTCTTAGCTTCAGCTTTCTTGGCTCTCTCTTCAGCTTTCTTGGCTCTCTCTTCAGCTTCTTCTCTTCTTCTTTTTTCTTGCTCTATAAATGTATTAAATTCTTCAGCACTTTTTCTAGCTCTTTCCTCATACGCCTTCTTGATCTCTGCACATCTTACTTCATATTCCTTTTCCTTCTGTGCCACCTGCTGCTTCATCTGTCTCTCCAGCTCTTCCTTCTCCCTCTCAGCCTCCCTCCTCTGCTGGCCTATCTCCTCCCTCAGCCTCCTCCTCTCTTCCTGCTCTCTCTCTACCCTCTGTCTGTCCTCCTCTGCTCTCCTCCTCTTCTCCTTCTCCCTCTGCTGCTCCCACTGCTTCTGCTGTCTCATCAGGTCCTCTTCAGTCTTCTTCTTCTTTTGCTCTGCTTCAGCCAGTTTCTTCTCCCACTCACTCCTCTCCTTCTCCTCTCTCTCTCTCCTCTCTCTCTCCATCTCCTCTCTCCTCACCCGCTCTTCCCTTTCTCTCTTCTGTCTCTCTTCCTCCATTGTCCTCTTCAGATCTGCCACTTCTGTTCTGTGTCTGTCCTCCCTCTTCCTCCCCTCCTTCTCCTCCGTCTCTCTCCTCTTTCTCTCATTCTCCTCTCTCCTCCTCTGCCCCTTCTCTCTCTTCCTCCTCCAGTCCTCCTGCTGTTTTCTCATCTTCTGCTCCAGGGTTTTGTTGTGATTTTCTTCAGCCTCTCTGAGTTTTTCCTCCCAGTGTCTCCTCTCTCTTTCCTCCTGCTCCTTCCTGTCTTGTTCCTCCTTCTCTCTCTTCCTCTGGGACTCCTGCTTCTCCCTCTCCCATTCCTGCTGCTGCTTCCTCATCCTCTCTTCCAACTCTTTCATCTTCCTTGTTTCAGCCTCTCTCACTTTCTCCTCTCTCTCCCTCAGGGCCCTGTCCTCCTCAGCTCTTCTCTGTCTGTCTTCCTCTTCTCTCCTTGCCTGAGCTTTCTTCATTTCCTCCTCCCATCTCTGCTGCTGTTTCCTGTTCTCTTCCTGAACTTGTTCCATTCTCTCTGCCCACTCCCTCTTTTCCTTGACCTCCACTTCTCTCCTTCTGCTCTCCTCCTCCTCTCTCTTTCTCTTCTCCTCTCTTTCTCTCTCTTCCTGTCTTTCCTCTCTGAGTCTCAGCTCCTCCTCCTTCCTCTTTCTCTCTTCCTCTTGTCTCTGAGCTTCTTCCTCTAATCTTCTCCTCAGCTCTTCTGCTTCCTTCATGAACCTGTTCCTCATCTCCTCCTCCTGTCTCTGAATCTCCTCCTCTCTCTCCCTCAGGATCCTCTCCTGCTCTTGTCTGATGGCAGCTTCTGCCTCCTGGAACATCTGGCTGGTGTAGAATCCTCCTCCGTTCTCTCTCACCAGGCTGTCGATCTTCTCCAGCAGCTCTGTCACCTGGGTGCAGTTGCCTGTGTCATTGTTGTTGAAGACGTGGTACCTGTCCCCACAAGCCCGAACAAGTCTCTGGAGTTCAGGGGTTCCCATCTGAATATACCTGTCAATGGTCTTGTCTTTAAGCTCATCTCCCCGAGTGAAGAGGATGAGAGTGTAGTCTTTAGCTTTTTCACCGAAAGTCTGTTTGATCAGCTCCACTGTGTCTCTCTCCTCTCTGGTGAACCTGCCCACCTGTATCACCAGGATGAACACATGGGGTCCTGGGGCTGACAGGGAGATACACTTGGCTATTTCCTCTTGAATCTCCACTGTTGACAGTGTTGTGTCAAACAGCCCAGGAGTGTCGACCACAGTCACAGGTCTCCCAGCGACTTTTCCTCTTCCCTTCTGACATATGCTGGTCACTGATCCGGAGCTGACTGTGGATGCAAACCTTTTCTCTCCCAGGATGGTGTTCCCTGAGGCACTCTTTCCAGAGCCTGTCTTCCCAATCAGAACCATCCTCACACACTCTTGGTCTTCCTCTTTACCTGCACTGCCTGGAATAGAGAGAAAATAACTGATCAAGTAAAACAAAATAGATGTGATCACAAATAGCAACTGCTGCTTGGGGTTCAGGGAGGGGGGCTGGAGAGGATGAGCACAGCACTGTGTTCATTCAGGGAGCTTTTATGTGCAGGGAACTGAAAGCGTGGGTTTAGAATTTGACCTCCACCTGATCTCTGTTCAATAACATCACGAAAGTTACATTTCTATCTTACCTGGTGAAATATTCTTAATCTTTTCCTCCAGCTCCCTGATCCTCCTGTCCTTCTCTTCCAGGTCCTGCTGGAGTCTCCTGTCTCTCCTGTCCAGTTGAGCCTGCAGGTACATGTCAGCAGTGTAGCAGTCAGGCCTGTTCTCCTTCACCATGCTGTCTATCTTCTGCAGGAGCTGTGACACCTGGGCTCCCCTCTTCCTGGTGCTGAACACCAGGTACCTGCCCCCACACCTCTGCACCAGCTGCTGGCTGTCTGTGTTCTTCTTGAGAAACTGATCTTTACGTTTTTTCTTCAGTGAGGTGAACAGTACAATGATATAGTCAGTGACTCTCTTGCTGAAAATGTCCAGGAACAGATCTAGTTCTCCCTTGTCCTCGTCTGTGAGAGGCCCTGCAGGAATGACCAGGAGGAAGGCGTGGACACCAGGGTCACTCAGAGAGACACAGCGGTGAGTCTCACGTCTCACTTCCTCCTCTGAAAGCCCCGTGTTAAACAAGGCTGGCAGCTCCACCACAGAAACCAGCTGCCCAGACACGTCTCCCAGTCTCCTATCACACACTGGGGCAACTGGTCTGAGCTCCTCTCGTCCCAGGATGGTGTTTCCTGAGAACATCTTCCCTGCTCCACTCCTTCCGAACAGGACAATCCTCAAACTGGGATTAACCATCTCATGTGTGTCAGACACTGAAAAACAAGCCAAGTGAGATTGTGTGCTGTTAGTATCATGGTGAGTCAGTATGTGAAGATGCTTCACAGGTGGTGGAGACTTGTTCTTCAACACAGACCCTTAACACAACAACACACTGCACCACCACTCAAAGATCAGGATACCCCTGTAATCCACTGATGGTGGATTCCTGAGACATTCCTGTACAACTGCTTGGACTCGTTGTCATCACTGATGTTCCAGCCTCACAGTGGGGCTCTACAGTAACCCCAGACAGGAGACTCTACAGTAATGCCTCAGGGAGGGGCTCTACAGTAACATCCAAGAAATAACTGTCTTCACTCTTCACGCATGGAGCACCAGTCCAAAACAGTGTATGACAGGTTAATGACTGGAATTTTTATGCCTTGTTACAATTCTGTAACACTGCGCGCACCCCTGTCTAACAATAAAGGAAAATGTATAGATATAAATATAACAGACCTGTGCTCCTTTTAAATTAAAAAATAAACTATAAAAGCATACACAAGCCTTGGCTCTTTCACATTCGTCCTCCAGCCCCCCTCCCCCTTCGATAGCCCCTCCCTCTGGACAGGGGTCCTCACTTCTCAACCACAGGGTCAGTCTACAGATTCTCAGTCCTCAGCTGCTCAATTAACAGTTAACATTCCTAAACTTTCATACTGGGGGTAGATATTCTTTGTGTAGTTTTGCAGTTTTTACAAAATAGCCGACATATATATTACGTAAGAAAGAAGCATAAAACATTGAGGGTACGCAACATTGTGTCCAGGGAGATGTGCCCTGTGACTAAGCTCTCAGGACACATTCAGTTGAATTCCTAGGAGCTGTCATTTATCATGAGCTGAAGCTGTTACTTCCCAAACTGAACTGCAGCCTGGACGGTTTTGTGTAGGATCAACACAGGGCCTGAGGTATTTATATCAAATTAATACATTTATACACATAAGTATACAGTAATGACAACAACAGAGAGATGTTTAGTCAGTTTTTTTAAAACAATGCAGTTGATCCTTCTTGTTAATATCTTAATATGTAAATAATGTATATTTGACTTTCATTTAAAAATAGACTATAAATAGAAATTAGTTAATGCAGTAGTTATTTTTAAATGTGGTAGAATTATTAACATTAAGACAATCTTAAACAGCTTGTAACTTTAAAATGAATCTAGAATTCTTTCCCCTTAACTATTTGAAATATACAAAATCATAGAAATGAGCACAGCAAAGATTATAGGCTTTTCATCAAACTTTCTAACTTAAATTTTATGCACAGTTAAAATCAAGAAGCAAATAACTTACAGTTTTCCAAGGATTTTTTTATATTGGCTTTCATATCTCTTGTTTTCTTGGATTTTTCTTTCCCCTGTGTTTGTGATGTCAGCTCTACAGCGCCCCCTGTGCTGGCCCCCTGTATTGATTCTGTTGCTGACTGGGCTCTTCCAGCTGCTCCTGTAGGTGGCGCTTCTCTTCCTCGCTCTGCTGCTGGGACAGAGAAACTCTCTGCCTCTCCTGCTGGGTGTCTCCCAGCTGTGCCAGCTGTTGGGTCTTCATCTTCTTCCAGTTCTGAAGGTGATGAAGAGGAATTTTGTTCTCCAGCACAGCTTCCCTTTCCTTCTCCACTTCCTGTATCTCGCTCATTCTTCATACAGCAAGTCTCAGGCATGCTGTAGCTGCCATTCTCTCTCACCAGGCTGTCCATGAGATTCAGCAGCTCTCTGACCTGGGCGCGGTCACTCCTGCTCTTGTTGTTGAAGAGGTGACACCTGCCCCCGCACTGCTGGACCAGCAGCTGGAGGTCTCTGTTCCCCCGGACAAACTCCTCCAGGCTCTGCTGCTCCAGGTCGTCTCCCCGGGTGAACAGAACCACGGTGAACCTCAGAGCCTCCTCTCCAAACAGCTCCCGGACCCTGTCTGCCGCCCTCCTGTCCTTGTCTGAGAACGGCCCCACCTTCACCACCAGGAGGAGCGCGTGGGGGCCGGGATCACTCAGGGAGAGGCAGCGGTCCCTGAGGAACAGAGTCTCCTCCGGGGAGAGCCGAGTGTCCAGCAGTCCAGGCATGTCCACCACAGTGATGCGCCTCCCCTTGATCTTCACCGATCCGCTCTGGCAGTGCCGCGTCGTGCCGGAGGCACTGGTGCGAGACGGGAACTCCTCTGCTCCCAGGATGGTGTTCCCTGTGGCACTCTTCCCCACTCCGGTCTGTCCCAGCAGGACGAGCCGCAGCTCCGAGGACCCTGGACATTCCAAAAAAAGATCGTGACTCTTTCAAAGAGGACTTAATATATAAAATCTACTCAATCTACCCCAAACTGATAAAGCTGAAACACACTAGTGGTATGTAAACTGAGGATTTAACAGGAATGCGAATCCTACTGAATTGTTCTGTCCAACTATTTCCTGGAAACCCTTCACTGCTGCTCAGATTTTATCCCTCTGGTATCTCTTTAAGTTCCCCATTAATAACAAAGAAAATGTTACGCTGTTAATTCTGCTCAGTATAATTATCAGTCAGTTATTTTTTCATTGAAAGGACATTCAGAAGTCATTCTCAGATATACTGGGGCTGTTCAACACTGCAGCATCCTGCTGGGGTACTGCTCCTGTACTGCAGTTTAGATCCTGGGAATGAAGTAACATTGTGACTGGCTGGGTGTTAATATCCCTGCAGTACAGATCCCTCTGGCTGTGCTGTCTGTGATGTGATCTGATCCCT